GGAATAGAAGAGGTTGTTGAGGAAGGCAGTATTTGGGTGGCCTGAGAATAAGTGTTAGATAGGAAAAGGCTGTGTTGGAGCTCATGTTCTCCGGATTTGGGCTCTCGGACTCGGGGAGAAGGTGGTTGCTGGTTAGGGAATCTACTGCAGGGGGGAGGTAGGAGAGGGAGTGGAGGTTGGTGGTCTGCTAGGTCAAGAGTAGATTCAGAATCAGAAGTGTTAGGGTTAAGATGTTTTGTGTGAAGGAGAAAGCTCTGATGGGTAGAGCAGGACTGAGAGAGATGATTGGGACTGAAGGGTGAAAAAAGGCCTGGAATCTCTGACCATTTTCCTTGCAGTGACAGCAATTATCTAAACTGTTCAGTGTGTTAAAATTGGAAGTGCTGTTTTCAGGCCATTGAGACTTATTATCTAGTTTATGTTGTGGCCAAACAGTGTCACAAAATAAAGTGAGGTGGTTGGGCATGATCTCCCCCGCGAGTGGCCCACACGACAGGAAGGGTGAGTGACAGGCCACAAACCCAAAGGTGACTGTTTAGGGCAGGTGTCCCTGCTGCTAAACAAATCACCATTAGAAATGAGAGGTGACCCTCTGGACTGGGGGTCCCCAATCCAGAAGGACCCAAAGCCAAACGGCTGAGGAATCTTCTGGCCTAGTGCTAGAACTTTCAAGATGAGAGACTTCTAAGAAGTCAGTGAGAGAGAGTGGGCAGAAGACCCGAGATGAGGGGAATTGTGGAACGTCACTCACCTAGAGAAGATTGGCCGGTGTGGGATGGAGGGTCAGCAAAGGAGGAGAGATTCCAGGTCCAGTGTCCTCCTTGGCTGGCTGGAGGGGACCCATAAGGGAGGGAGACCTGATCGAGGCTGGCAATCGAGTCACCCGAGTAGGATTTGGAGGTAAGCCCAGGATGAGCTGCTGCTGCCTACTGCTCTCTGAGTAGCAAACTTGGGGTGACCGAAGCCAGGATGATGGCTCCTCTCCCCATGGAACCCTCCCGGATTTCTGGCACCAAATGTTAGGTTGCCGAAGGAGGAACGCTCGAGACCAGGGTGGTGAAGGATCACAAATTTATTCAATCATCCGCACACCAGGTGGCTGATCCTGGATGGCTCCAGCACCACGTAAATGGAGTCAGCAGCTTTTAAAGAACTTTTAGCAGGCTTTTTTTTTCTGGGCAGAGACTTCTTTATGCATACCCGGAGGGGAGATAATAAAATGTGGTCACCACAAGTGAAATGTGGTCTTCAGCTAAGGGAATGTCCATAGTGAAATGACCTGAAAAGCCAGTTCCCAGGGGAGGGGTATCAGTTCAATTGCTTGATCAAACCTAACACCCATATAACAGTATCCTTGAGAATACCCATCATGGGACACTGCAGCAGGTGAGGGCAGAAGCAAGGGCATCAGCTAGGAAACTATTCCAATTATCCAGGGAGAATATGATGGGTGCTCTAACTGTAGTTTTAGATAGGGAGAGAAATGGTTGGATTCTGGATATATTTTGAAAGTAGTTGGAGCTGTTGGAGCTGTTGATGGATTCAAAATAAGACATGAGATAAAAGGAGGGTGTAAGGTTTGTGACTCCACCCATCTGAAAGAGCAAAGTTGCCATAACGAAGATGGGGAAAAACAGGAGTTTTGCATTTGGATGTGTTCAATGTGACATGCCTATTGGACATCTAAGTAGATAAGACAGTAGTCTATTTATATCCAGAGTTCAGAGAAGTTCTGGCTGGAGACTCAAAGTTTGCAGGATATAGAGAGTATTCAAGAAATCACTTGGAGTGAACCTAGAGAAGAGGCCCCAGGGCAAAGTCCTGGGCATGCCAATATTAGAGGCAAGGTGAGGAGGCATAAGCAAAGGGGACTGAGAAGGGATCACCAGTGAGCTAAGAGGAGAAGAGAGAATAGGGTTCTGGAAGTAAAGTTGAGGTGTGTCAAGAAAGAGAGAAGAGTGGCTACATAAATATTGCAGACAGGTCGGCTAAGACATGAGCATGGCTGTTAATGTGTACATTAATTTCAATACCAGTCAGTGCCCAAAGTAATATCTCCTGGCCCCACCTCCTTAAGTGAAATAAGTTGTCTTTTTCCATAGATGCCCTCTACGAACATTGGCATGACTCCATGGGAGGCCCATGTGTATCTTTCTGGTCCTCTCAGAAACCCATGGGCAAAACAAAAAACTCAGAGGCTGAATTCCCAACTACAGACCTCAATGCTAGTTTTGCAGAGGTCCTCAAGAAAATCTTTCAAGATCTGTGAAGGCACACAGTCCCTCTTCAAGTCTGAGAGAGAGGTGTGTTCTTTTTCTGTGTTATACACAGATGAGCAAAGCAGTCCAGCCTCCCAGAGCTCTTCAGGGAAATTCTTTCAGTTCTAAGTGCTGTGTCTCTTCTCTCTTCTCTCTTCTCTCTTCTTTCTTCTTTCTCCTCTCTTCTCTCTTCTCTCTTCTCCTCTCTCTTTCTGTCAAGGTTAATCCCAGTATCAGGAACCCACAAAAGATCCCCCCCTTTATTCATTCTATAGTGTGGCCTGCCTCTGTCCTCCAGCCCAACAATAACTCTTAAATCTTGGGGCAGGGAGCGGGGGGGGGGGGGGGGGG